CAGAAATGAATGGACGCATTGCAACATCCACCATGAGACTTTTGCCGTCAAGAAAATGCCTGACGATTTAAAATCTGTTAAGACTCTGTTGTGAATTGTATCAAGGCTTGAAAAATTAATTCACATCTGCTTTGCTCAACTAAACAGACTCACCCCTCTCACTGAAATGGTGCTTATTTATTATTTTTATTTGTTGTTGTTACTGTTTTTTTCTGTAAAACACTTTGAGAGCCACCTTTAAAGGCGCTTTATCAAATAAAGTTTATTATTATAATATTTATTATATGTATGTGTGAGTCTGTGTGCATATGCGCTCATGTTGGTCATTGAGAATTTCTGGGGTTCCTATGAGATGATGACTTGTAGGTGGTACGTGGATGCTTTGGTTAGATTTGGGGTGGTACTTGGTCCAAAACGTTTGAGAACCACTGTGTTAAGGTGTGTCTGAGGCTTGTATGTGGCCCACTGACCACATTGGCCATTACTGGTTAACAGACTTGAGTTCAGCTTGCCAGTGGTATTTCGTCTCTGCAAAATGGACATGGATATACTGTAGATGGGTAAAAATGATCCAAAAAAGTCATTTCACAACTCACCTTGCCCAATATTATGCACTCCAATAGACATTCCCAAGAACTTTGACTTTGTCCAAATGTGAGCGTTGAACTGAATCTTTTTATTGTAGCACTCAGCATAGAAAGCAGAAACTGCCAGGAGGAAAGAGAACAAGGTGAGGGAGTGCTGTGCATAAACAGTAAATGCGATACAGCGTTCGTTAGAGTACTTCCTAATGGAAAAGGAACCAATACTGTGCTCAGCATATGTCAATCACGTGCAGCAGCTGAAAGCAAAGTCACTATACCTGATACTACAAAAACAGCAGAAATATTAACATACTTCATTTTTTATAAAAAGAACTTAGGATCAATAGACGTAATTTGCTCAAAGCTGAAGTACATAAAAAAATAAAAAATCCACTGGTGTAATACTGCCTTGTACCATGTTTTTACAGCTGCCCAGTGTTGAATGTGTCACTATATGTTTACTATATCTCTTTTTAACTAAGGCCTTAAAAAAAGTATTTCTTATCAGTCAGGGTTAGGGTTAATGCTGTGATGCTGCACATTTACAGACAGGGCGGACTCAACTGTGTGACAGCCTTAAAGGTATTGTCATACTGATACCCACAGCAGGTTTCTAAAAGCTTTGCTACTCTCTGTAGGATTAACAATTTTAATAATGTGGCTCTTAGATTCAATATATGCCCTCATAATGATCAAGTTGCAGAAGAAATGCTGTTGAAAACCATGCATTAAAAACCATACATTTTGAATATTAGATTAATTAATTAAAATAATTGCTACCCAACCTAATGAAAGGCTCATTAAACATTGTAGAATTTTCATTATTCAGACCTTTTACCTGAAGTATAAATAATTGGCCTCCTGATTACGCATCTGTGTCAGGCCATGCATGAAGTAAAAGGACAAGCTACCCAACACTGCTATTGTTTGCTGTTGTGTGCATGATGTTCAGATGCATATATATTACCTTCAGCCTAAGGCTGTTAAAAGTAACATGGCTCTTTAGTTTTCCAAAAAAATGAAGACCGTAAGCACTTACTGGGTGGGTGATGAGAGACCTGCTCTGCTACGAATGAGACATTGGTCTTTGTGCACCAAGGCACAGGTCCCTCAGACACAGGCTCCTGGTGGAAAAGAAGCAAGAGGGTGGTATTAACAACACTAGCCTGCTCTATCACAGCAGACCTTTGAACACTGCCTTATTCCTTGCTGATGTGGTCAGAATTTAATCCTTTCCTTAAGGCTGCTCTCCAGAACACTGAGACTCTTGCGAAGGCTGCTGCAAAAAGTAATAGGATGCCTTTTAACACATAATAGCTAAGCACATAGATGTGCTTGTTTAACTAGGAGAAAATATGGTTCCTACATTTTCTTTTCCTTAACACAGGAGCCTCCAGTCCTTCTGATTACCCAGATTTGACAAATGCAGTGGCTACCATGATTTATTTGCTTTGCAGGAAATGTTCTGTTGAGCATTTGTCCATACACCCTTTTCCTAGCTGTCTCCTACATGCAAAACACATTACAGCAGGATCTCAACATCTGCAAATTTAACATTCACAAATGTGCTTATTTTCAATTCAGTCTGGCCAAGGGGGTCTTGCATGAAAGGAGAGCAACATGCCCTGAGACTCATGACTCTGATCTTGTGTGAGTTTGAGATAGCAGTGCACTCACAGTATTTTCCTCATTTTCCGAAGGCAAGTCCCAGTGACAGAGGAAGATCTCTCCTAGAATGGGGTTGTATGGTTTCTTGGCCACTGAGCCTTTCCTTCCTGCGTGAAAGGCAGAGAGGTACCATTTCACAACCTGCACCATGCGATCCCGGGGGTCCGTCTGATCTGCAATACTGGCACACACAGGTGTTAGAGAGCTGTAGGCAGGGCACAGGCTGTCATGACAAGACAAGAGGCTTCAGAGGGGTAATGGGGGAACAATTGAGTTTGAATTGTCAGAGGAATAAGAGCAATGTTTAAAACATTCTTTTAGGCTACAAAGCTGATGCATTTCTGATTATTTTACAAGAATTTCTTTTTTTTTTTTACAATTATTACATACGTAGTGTAGATTGTATGGCATAGTGAGAATGTTTTGGCTTTTAAGAGAGCTGTGAAAATATTTACCTAACAAACAGATCCGGGTGTGCAAAAAAATCAGCGTACATTTCCAGCAGTGACCTCCGTTCCAGAATGAAAGTAGGGAGAACCACCTATGGGAAGAGAGGGAACCAACTTGACTTTAAAAATGTGCAAGCACATCTGCCTTACTGACTGGAGAAAAGCCTGAATCAAGTTTATCAATTACAGTACAGTAGTGCTGACACAAAGAATATCAACACAACCCAGTACACACTGTATGTCACACCCAGATAAATAATAACAATAATGATCAGTTATCTGTTATGAGTTCTACATAAAGCATATTCCTTTCAAGAGGGTCCTTAACACCCTTTGTCTAATGAATTACTTACCTCAGAATGCAGATACAGATTTACCAATTTAAAAACAAATAGTTTTATGATCTTATTTATGCCTGTGGCTATAGCCTTGATTAAAAAATTATTATTTTGTGTATAGGCATGTGTATTGTTGTCTGTGGGTTGTCTTTATATTGTCTTCTGCTGTAAAACAAATTGTGTGAGGATAATAAAGACTCTCTCTGTCTCCAATTACAAAAGCAATAGGTAAAAGTAAAAACATGCCTTCATGCACTTTCCTTTACTAGGCAATACTGAGAAGACTATAACAATTTTAGAACCTATTTACAATTTCTTAATTGTTTTTTTTAATCCCAGTACCATCTATCATGGTAATATGAAGAAAGCAACAGGTTGAAAAAAAAACACTTTTCTTAGTTTCTAAGACGACTGCAAACCAAAACCAGTCAAGGCACACCCAGGCATTGTGGAGAAAACCCTCCAAAGAGAAAAGTCTGACCACCTTGTGTGCGAGTGCCAGTGCTACAGAAACCACTGTTAATGAACCAACAGCAGTTTTTATGAATTCTGGATTTAGCACCACTGTGATTCACCCCACAGCAAAGACCGCCAGGAATCAAATATCTCCTGGGAGGTGCAGTTATTGCAAAACCTACCCTTCCTTTTATTAAAAAAGAGAACAGAAGATTACTATGAAAAAGTAGAATTGTAAAACATATTTTTCCGTTTTCTTTTTTGAATATATTAAATATAGTTTTAAAATGGACCACACAGTGGTTAGGACGGCATATGTCCATACGCGTCCATGCGCAGGTGCCATGTGAAGGTTCGGGTCCATACAGGGTGATGTTTTCCACAGCTCTTACCAGGAATAAGCATAGTGGTAATGCAGTACTTAGAACCAGCAAAAGATGGTGCTTCCCAAACAGATAAAGTCCAGATTGATCTTCAGTTTAGGTGGTCTAAAGCTTGAGTGCTCCACCACCTTTTTTTCCTATTTGTGGGAACGGTCTATAAATATCCATCCTGTGAAGTAATTGAATGCTTAAAAGATCATATAAACAGGAAGAAGAATTAGCCTCTTCATTTAGAAGATCAGAAACCAGGCCCAAACCAGCAGCACAGGGGCACACCGCTTATAGTAGCAAGGAAGGGTTACCTTGGTGAGGTCCATTCCTAGTCGCACCTGGGACAGCAGGTGCATGATGACACTCTTGTGCTCCTCCACTGACTCCCCTTCTCCGTCGTCATCTCGATCATCATGACTGTCGAACCGATCTGTCGACACGACAGCAGAACATGAAACCCTGTCCCTCAACGAAACTGTGTCCTCGCACTGGTATGGTGCAATTCCTACAATAAGTCCCATGGAAATCAGTCCAACTTGATTAAAAGCCTGTTTAAGAAGGGTGAATGAAGTTTTATCTCCAAACTGTTGCACAAGTGTAGTCTAACAGTGTTTCTGAGTATGTCTTTCTTGCATTCATTATAAATCATTCTCCAAGACGGTCAGAGATCCACTTGTTGCTGTGAATCTCCAAATTATTTTCAAACTAATGAACAACAACAAAAAGATTAAACTTTAGTTACTAAACACTCCCATTCGTAATGCAAATGATTAAGCTGAGCAGCAGCTTGGTTAGTATAGAACAAAAATCATCAACATGTATATTTTTAGGTCTTGTAATGTTGCAAATTTTACAACCTGTTCTTAAAACGTCTGGTTCCATTCCTTTTCTGCATGAATGTGTCTTACAGAAATCAGACTTTACTTGCAACCAAGCAAAGGCAGTTTCTGAACTTCCTCTGACAATTAAATGAATGTACAATGACAGCCAGCACTTCTCATTTTTATCTCTCCACCCAGAACACGTTAATTCCTAGACCAGAAAAGCGGTTATTGTATTTGATTGACTGCTGTATCCTCCAATTCAGATTTTAGTACAATAGGTCATGCTTGCTTCCTTTCAGGGTCAGTGCGATTTAAATCCTGCCCACCTGAAGTATGATTTCCCTTTTTTATAACCACACCTCCACACTAGGCTTTATTTTTCATAACTCAAAAAAACACATTCTGTAATCCTAAAAATGTATTATTAAAAATGTTTTGATATTATAATATCAAACTGAATATCCTGGAAAACTGGCCACATAAAAAAGCTATTGTCTAATTTTATTAATATTTTGTAATTTACCATGTATACAATTTTAAATATTTTCATATTTTGACATGATATTCTTAAGCCTACTGCAAAACACAATTTATCGCCTTTTAGTTTAATGTTACATAACATTTGCTTAAACCTGTTAATAACAGATTTTGGACAGTAAATTAATATACATTATTACAAATCCGTAACTTACCAGTATTAATAGCTATACGATACTAGCTTATTAAAACTCTGAATCAATCAGAAAAGCTCTGCATGTCAAACAATGTGCTAAGATATTAGATTTCTTTTTCCCTACCAGTGCTCTTCATAGACTATACTTAACTAACTTTACACTACCTAATGCTAAAAAGAAGCAAGACCTGCTGTTAAGGTCTTCCAAATGCCTTCATATTTTAAGTTTTAAGAGACAAGTAAGTGGTAATAGAAATAAAAAAAGAGATCAGATCATTCCAAAACCCTGATGGCTTATGAGTTTCGTCTAAGGAGTTAAACATTATGATTAAATCCCAAGAAACATGATACCAAAATTGGTTTAAACAATTTAACACCTGGAAATGAAACCTGCAGGTTCCCTTCCATAATGAAAGACAGAGGATGAACATATTTAAAAAAATAGAGAAGTAGTGGAGTCATAAAATCATTTCAGTAGTTAAACAGCAGGTAAGCTTGTTCTTTTTGGTCACTCCCCATGAAGTCTGAAACAAAAGCAAGTCAAAATGTATCATCCTTCTCCTTCCTACATCCTTCTTTCACAATAACAGCAGCACAACACACACACCGAAGAAAATCCTACACACAGTTACACAGCCCAGAAGTAACACAGGGAGCACAAGTTTACCTTCGGGAAAGTGAAAGGACATCGCCCCCCTAGGGGGAAGATGTGTTTTTGACCTTTCCTTAATGTCATATGTTCTATTTTGTTTTCTGTGTTGTTTTTTGGAGGTTCTCACAGTCTCAGTTTTATTCAATCAGCAACTAGTTTAAATTGAACAGCAATTCATAATTTTAGAGTGACAAAAAGCAAAAGGAATTACTTCACCTAGATCTGAGAATCTGCTCCTTAGCTTTAAATATTTTAGAATGAACTGCAGCAGCAATAAGAAACAGTATGCTTTTTGACAGTGTCATTCTCACGATAAGTTTTAAAACGATGGCCAGAAAGGGGGATTTCCCAAAGAACATTAAGACACCAGATCTGTCTACAGAGCTGAAGATTCCCAGCTTATAGTCATGTCAGAGGTTTTTAAGACCCTCTGTCGTCACCTGCATCGGTGGTCCCATTGGACATGGAGGAGTTGAGAGACTCATTGGTGTCTGGTCTCTTCAGGCTCGTTCCTGTCCCACTGTGAGGCAAAGTAGCTTGAGTCATGAAAGAGCTGGAGAGACACAATGAACATGAGAAAGTTACAAACAAGAGGAGGTTATTCAACCCAACCAGACTGTCAAGCAGTTAGTAGCTAACTGATCTGAGGATCTCAGCCATGTTTCTTCAAGCTAGGGCTGGCTTTGACAACATTAGCTTGTATAAGTGCTGTCCTACGGTTTGAAATACCCTTCTATGTAGTATACACTTTTGTTCTCAAACTGTGTTCCACTGTTTAATCTGAATAATTTATCTGGGATAACTCTGTATCAGAGTGCAGTGTGCTCATACAGAAGCAAGATTATTTCAATTTGAAGACTGCCCATGAAGAAGGTGATTCAATGTGCAATGGAATTGAATGATTTTGCCTGCAACTCCACTGAACCAGTTACCATGCGATGGACAAGTTTCCCCTGCAGGGGGAGCTGTGTTCCCTTAGTTTCCTTAATGCTACAGAAACCAAGAGAACACCACAACCCCATCAGTCGTTTAAGCTTTTATGAGGATTAAATTTTAGCTCATCACATAATTTAAGCTCACACAAAACTGTGGAGTCTAAGAGATTGACTTACTCCATACAGTGCTTAGGAGAGGCACTGTTCTGATAGAATTCATCAGCATCATAGAACTCATCCTCGCTGCTAGAGTAGGAGAAATCCGGGACAGTGTTGGAAGAGAGGGTGACATGGCTGGGAGAGGTGACACTGCTGCTAGGAGCTGATGGGCCACTACCTAAAATAAGAAAATAACAATGACTTGATCATTTTGCTCACTCACAAAATTCTGCTCACTCTAAATCAAAATTCAGGCAACTATAACATTTCAAATGTTGTATCTTCATCACGTTAATGTACAGTCAATTGCTTTTTAGCCCTTTTTGTCCTGTTAGGACTTGAAAGTTCCACCAACAGAAAAAGTCCACTCCACATTTTTACTTCAAAGAGGAGGAAGGTGATTTTCACTAAGCTATACATGATACTGCAAAATCAAGATGGACAGTGGCCAAAGCTCTTCTACCAAAGATGAGAATTGTGGTCAACAATATATAAGCACAAATGTTTTTCTTAGACAGAACACATGAAGGGTTAAAGAGATCAGAAAATTACAACAACTTATGCAACTGGAATCTCTCCCTGAAATGGAGCTTTTATGCTGGTTAAAAAGAAAAGCCGGTATTTCCTGCAGAAGCAGACTACTGTATACAGTCATGTGAAAAAGAAAGTACACCCTCTTTCAATTCAATGGTTTTCATATCAGGGCATAACTAATAATTGTCTGGTCCTCACCAACTTCTATAATTAGACAAATCTAGCCTCAGATAACACATAACAGATTTCTCTATGTCATTATTTATTTAACAAAAAGTAAGCCAAAATGCAGAAACCATGTGGGAAAAATTAAGTACACCATTACTGCTTCCATAGGAATTAAAAAGGTAATTAGCAGTCAGGTGCTGCTAATCAAACGCACTTGATTAGTTGATCATCAGGAAGTGTGACCATCTCTATAAATGCAGAACTTTTGGCAGCTTGGAGCATTCAGGTGTGAGTTAACACCATGCCAAGGAGAAAAGACTCTGAGAAGCAATTATTGTTGCTCATCAATCTGGGAAGGGTTATAAGGCCATTTCCAAACAATTTGAAATCCATAATTCTACAGTGAGAAGGATTATTTACAAATGGAGAACATTCAAGACAGTTGCCAATCTTCCCAGAAGTGGGCGTCCCAGCAAATTCACCCCAAGGTCAGAAATTGCAAAGAACACAAGAACTACATCTAGGGATCTACAGGCCTCGGTTAACATGTTAAATGTTAAAGTTCATGACAGTACGATCAGAAAAACACTGAAAAAGTATGGCTTTCATGGAAGGAGAGCCAGGAGCCCTTCTCTCCCAAAAAAAAAACATGGCAGCACGGCTTAGGTTTGCAAAGTTGCATCTGAACAAACTACAAGATTTCTGGAACAATGTCCTTTGGACAAATGAGACCAAAGTGAAGATGTTTGGTCATTATGCACAACACCATGTTTGGCGAAAACCAAACACAGCATATCACCACAAAAACCTCATACCAACCGTCAAGCACGGTGGTGGAGGGTGATGATTTGGGCTTGTTTTGCAGCCACAGGAACTGGGCACCTTGCATTCATCGAGTCGACTATGAACTGCTCTTTATACCAAAGTATTCTAGAGACAAATGTGAACCCATTTGTCTGACAGCTAAGGCTTGGCCGAAATTGGGTCATTCAACAGGACAATGCTCCCAAGCACGCCAGCAAATCTACAACTGAATGGCTGAAAAAGAAAAGAATCAAGGTGTTAGAATGGCCAAGTCAAAGTCCAGACCTCAATCCCATTGAGATGCTGTGGCAGGACGTTAAGAGAGCTGTGCATAAACAAATACCCTCAAAAATCAATGAACTGAAGCAATGTTGTACAAAAGAGTGGGCCAAAATTCCTCCAAAACAATGTGAGAGACTGATAAACCCATACAGAAAAAGATAACTTCTAGTTATTGCTGCTAAAGGTGGTTTTACAAGCTACTGAATCATGGGGTGTATTTAGTTTTTCACACATGGCTTCTGCACGTTGGCTTATTTTGTGTTAAATAATGACATAGTGGAACCTGTTATGTGTTGTTTGTCACCTGAGGTTAGATTGACCTAAGTTTAGGACCTGGTAAGGACCAGATGATTTTTTGTTATGTCCTGATATATAAAACCATAGAATTGATTTATTTTACACATGACTGTATATACCTTAGTAAGGAACAAAGAGCTTGTGCTCAATGAGCACCATCGTTTGAAAATATCTGAAAATACCTTCAGCGGTGGAGGCTGAAGACAGTTGGAAGAAACCTGCAAAAGTGATTTATTTGTCTTTCCATCTGTCTCTTCTTGCTTTTTATTCCAAAGTCATTTGAATTATGGGAATCAGCACTGTCATGTAGTCTTTACCGAACATACCCATGACATGTTTACACTGGAAAAATTAAATTAGAAAACTAAATCTGGTTTCTCAGTCTGGAATATGAATTAAACCTTTGCGAGTTTAAGAGTTAGTATTCCAGAATATGTGCACGTGTGTTACGCTGTAATGTGTGCAGTTAATGGTTAATAAGGAACAAGTAATAGGTTTATTCCATGCTGAAAAAGAGAAGAAAGAAAACACAACGTTTCGGCCGTGGAGCCTTCTTCAGGTGTGGTTAATGGCTAATGTCTGCAGAAGTTGTGCTACTTTAAGATCTCATTCCAGGTAACTTCACTTCCGAAGTACCAACAAACGTTACATGTAAAAGCACCAGTTATACATATTATATTTATTATCTAAATGAAATTTCCAATCTTTAGGAAGTATGGTGCACAGTTTTCAGACTCATGTACTTTCCGTACCTCTGATCTTTCACAGTGCTAAGGCTGATTTTCTCATGGTGCAGTTTGTCGAGTTGCTGAGCAACAATCACAGAAAATACAGTGAGGAGGTAACCGGATAGTTCTTAAATTCACTCCAAATAAACACTAGACCATTGTCCAAAACTACGTTTAAGTGGGGGAAAAAAAGTATTGTTGCTACGCTTTTGCTAAAGTTTTAAAAGTCACTAAGAAAAGGATAGTAAATGTGTCTTTTGACAAAAACAAAACTCTGATACTATAAAATAAGCCTACCCAAAGTGTAATAATAAATAACAGAAAAATGCTAATGCCACACAGCACAAAATGTTTACGTGCTCCAGAAGCAGAATTTCTTTGTAGAAATGTACTGAAAGATAGCCATGTAATACTAAGGTTCTGGACTTCATGTCCCACATAAACAGACTCCAGACACCACCACCTAACCACGTTGTCTGCAGCTCATTCAGCGTCTGAACAAAGTGGAAAATTATGAGCACAGTTCGTTCTCTTCCACAGTATCACATTGTCTTCTCTAAGTAGTTATTTTTAACTCTTTCTGAAATTTAGGCAGCTAGAGCAATGTCTCAGGCTGTGGGAGGGTGTGAACAGGCCAGGGTGCCCAGTACCTGTGCTGTTGGGTGTGGGAGTCTGGAGGTTCCCCATCATTGTCCCCACAGTTCCCACTGCCAACGTAGATGGCCGCTGCTCTGCTTTGCACATCGGGGTGCCATCTGAAACAAAGAGAGGAACACCTCTAGCTCCGTGTACTTACAGCACCTGTCTGTAGCAGGCAAAAAGGAAGTCAGGATACTACTGTTCTTTCAGATAGTGTCAAGCAAACCAGATCTGAAAAGCAAACATACCTTCCAGGTTACAATACTACTAGAGAAAGTAACTCTAAGTCACTGTTGAAAAGTGATGGCTGAATTACAAAATGTCTGATATTTTTATCTACCAAGCAGATACAATCAATGTATCAATCTACAATCAATTATTGTGTAGAAAAAGAAAGCTGGCTGGATGTCAGATTTCTAGAGCAAAACCAAAATCACAGATGGTTCACTCTGTTGTAACATACAGTACCAGTCAAAAGTTTGGGTACACCTGCTTGAAACCAGGTTTTTCATGATTATCTGTGCTTTAAACTGTGAAACCTTGTCTATAAACACTTAATAATTAATTACACGATCTGTGTACTTATCAGCTTAAGTTCACTGCAATGAAAATTTTTAATTTTTTAATTTTCAATAAAATCAACACTCAAAGCAAGCAGATTTCAGTCTGAAGCCCAGGTTAGTTAAAAGTCAGAAATGTGTATAACATGGTGTTTGATCACTAAAAGAAGTTGAAAAATGTCTTTGTTAGATGTTCTCACAGTTACCTAGCATGTTACCTCATTTACCTTTTGTCACCAATTATTAGTATACAGGTGAGGGTCCACAATTACTATAAATATAGGGAGCTTGGGCAAAAGTTTGTAATTCCTCAATGAACATGGCAAAATTTGCTCAGTTAAGCAAGGAAAAAAGACAGTCTATAATTAAAATAAAGGTCAATCTTTAAGACAAACTGCAAGAATTTTGCAAGTCTCAGTAATTGCTGTGGCCAAGACTATCAAGCGATATGAAGAAACTAGCACCCACGAGGACTGAAAAAGTTCAGGCAGGCCAAAGGTGACCTCAGAATCATTAGAATACGTTCATTAGAGTCACAGGTCTGTTAAACCGACGACTAACTGCCCCTGAAATACAAGCTGAGGTCAATGCAACTAAAAGTACAGATGTTTCAACATCAACTGTTCAGAGGAGGTTGCATGAAGCTGGCCTCCAAGGTCCAGTTTCTGTGTATTTTGGCCAGGCAAGTCTCTTCCTCTTATTCTGCACTCTTAACAGTGTTTTCTTTGCAGCAATTCCTCCTGGTAGGCCAGTTTCACGCAGAAAGAGTGGAAGTGAAGTGAACAGGGCTTATTGCAGCATTGCACCTACTTCCTTCACACTTCACAGAAGTAAACTTTCACAAATAATGATGCTTTTGTGATGTCTCTTCAGGGTCATTCAAAATATAATATGTAATTATTATAATTACTATAATCATTCAAGCACAAATACACCATCACTCTAAAAAGAATACTCAGTCATTTGGTAATCAAATAAGTGTTTTCTGTTGATTTTAAAGAAATTAATTCCACGGGAACCTTAGTATCTCCCAGGTTCAGTTATTAGTGTTTAAGACTGAAAACTCCTTGTAATGAATGTTTCTTCATGGATCAACTCTTGGAATACACTTGTGCATATCTAGCATTATAATGTCTTGAATGAACATACTGTACCAGTCAAAAGCTTGAGTACACCTCCTTGAAACCAGGTTTTTCATGATTATCTGTGATTTAAACCGTATAAATGTATCAATAAACTTCCACTCTTTCTGCTCTGAGAATTTAGGTAGCATGGTGATTCTTAGAAGCCACATAATACACAAAAACTAGAAATCTTTAATTCCTTTAAACACATATATAACTACCATGCAGCAGGAACATTTAATAGTGCTTGGGACTGACAGGACAGACGCAGATTGACTCAAATTTAAGTGCAGCACGGAATGATGGATGGAAGACACAGATATCCGTTTCCCACAAAACACAGAGTGCAGCCTTCCTTCTCCTTGTGTGCCTGCCTCACATACTGTACAAACACATTCCCTTCATATACAGTATATGGCTTTCACACTGAAAATGTCACAGGATTTTAAATGCTCAAGTCAATGTTGCACTTACAATTTCTCACAGCTTACTGGATAGGGCAGAGATAAAAGCAATTTTTTAAACCTTCAAAAAGTGTTTTCAGGTGTAAGGATTTTCTAATAGACAAAAAACAACTCACTGCAGACCAATGATGATTGTATATTATGAATCTGTGAGACTGTCTGTGAAACTAGCAGTTTCATTTTAATATTAGAGCAGGAGGCCACAGCCCTACCCTGAAACCCCAGTACTCACCAGGGCGAGCTCTATTATTTCCCTCACTATCAGATGTTAGAACAGGGCTGTTGCCACACAGGACATAGTGTGATTCCACATTCAGGTCACACAGCCCCACGCTAATGACACTTTGATAAAGTCCTTTAAAGTTAAAATGGCCCTTGCCTTGGTCTGACTGCAGACAAGAGGACAAAGACATCATTAGTAAGCAGATCCTTAGGATCTGTTGTTATAGATGGAAAAATAAAATCACATCAGGAAAGGAGAATCGCATCTGGGGAAGGAGATGCAAAAAATTATCTCTTTATTCTGTACATGTATCATAACACTGTTAATAACACAAGATGGGAATGCATTCTGTACACAAAGAGAAAAAGCAGGTCACTGTATAATCAGGTGTAGTATCACACTAAAAAGAGCACCCTCAAACAAAAGCATACAAGCCCAGTTTTCCCACAGCATGTATGTGTCTACTGTGTAAATTGCAGCCGTCTGCATAACTGTATGTCTCAGACCATGCAGAATCTGCTTTATCTCTAAAACAGGCAGAACCAGTATGGTACGGGCACCATATTTTACACTAACAGGAAGAAAATGTTTGATTATAGGCTGACATACCTTAAAAGCTACCATTCTGTACCTATTTTTTTTTCTGAGGCTAAAGGTGTAACTTTCACAAAAAAACAGAAGAAAGATTACAAATCCATTAAGGCCATATGGCTTATTATCTTACTGATTCAATGATCTTGTCCAGATACAGCCTTTTTAAAAACTCTGTTTTTCTTTACTCCCAGGTTTTATAAAGGCAAAAGCATATAAATACAATATACATAAATATGCAACATTAGGAATGGAAAACACATAAGCAGTTAACACATTTATATATGCCAGCAGCCATATCACCCTGCAACTCACAACTGGCAACCCACTGAAGCTAAGCAGGTGTGAGCCTGGTCAGTACTTGGATGGGAGACCTCCTGGGAAAAACTAAGGTTGCTGCTGGAAGAGGTGGAGGGGAGTCCCCATTACCTGTAAAGCGCTTTGAGTTGAGTGTCCAGAAAAACGCTATATAAGTGTAAGCAATAATAATTATTATTATTATTATTATTAATTATGGGTGGAACAAACAACCTTTTGTAATTAACACTAAGGTTAGGGGTATGGTTCATGCTGTTTGGTATTAGGGCATAGTTGCCAGCATAATTAATATTTTATTCTTGGAGTAGACTGTAAGCCATATATTAGCTCTGTATAAGTGGCACTGACACTCAATTAATGATGGATAACCACTGTGTAAAGCATAGATAGGTACTTATTACCTTGTGTCATCAATAAAGACAGTTTTATTATTTATTATTATTATTCTGATCTAGTTTCACCAAAGCCTGGTATTTCAAGTGTTAACAAGCCACAGTTCAGAGGTTAGCCACCTCACCAATACGATCTGCTAATGGTGAAGCACATCCCTTGTTCTTAAAAATTGATTTTTTTATTATCTGACTGGGAAACAGTCAAACACGGATTAACCTACATTTCAGATACTTGCTAAAAGGATGTTACAAACCGTACATAGGGATGTTTTAAGTTCACACAGAGCATACTGCCATGGTAGTGGATATGTCACTTCAGAGGAGGGAAATGAGATGCTGTCACATTCTGATGGTTTTAAGCCCATTTTAAAATCAATGCAAGTGCAGTTTTGGAGAAGAGCCCTGCGAAGCTCACAGACATCTGAGCCGAACCATTAGTTTTCTAGGCATTCAGACTCAGCAATCTGTTGTGCTCACTTTGTTTTTGTCAATAGCTGCTGCTGGAATAAATGATGTCTAGTGCTATAGGAGCTAGTCCCAACTGCTTTAAAGGTATAAGTAAACAGGAAATAGACAGGCTTTAAAAAATATGGGAAAGTGATACACTACAAAATATGATTGTTATGCTGGTGAATAACTTATGTTTCCAATGCTTGGCTTATCACAATCAAAACTTTCAGTTACATGATTATTTTGATGGGATCTGTGAGTGGTTGTTTCACAAAAGCAAAACTAAAAAATATAAAAAAGTTTTATTTCCATTACATTTCTAGATATGTTTCAATGACTTGATATTCACATGCACAAGCACAAACTTTCTAGAATAAAAAACAAAAAAGATTGATCACCCTGGTTTAAAAAAAATTGTATTAATGTATCATACATGTACACGAAATTCTTCAATCTCTATGAATGAGAATTCAAACTGAGAGACAGAACCAGCGGGTCAGGTCAAGACCTTGTAGAAACACGTGGAAACCATATTTAATTTTAAAGAAAATGTCTGAAGTACTCAATGTTTAGTGTATTTTATGTCTCTACCTTTCAGTAGTGCTTCACTGTGAAGCCAAAACCGCCAAAAAAGTTACATGAAACTTCAGTTTTACTCCATTGTTGTTGACTTATATTTGTCTGGGTTCCTTTTCTACTTGTCTCTTTTCACATAAAATTCACTTATTTTGTTACTACAGAGATCTCAGCTACCCCCTACCAAAGTACTCAAGGGACAGCCAAGCAGAGAGATACACTTACAGTACCTACAAGAGAGAAGTACTAATGAGCTCATTATTCAACCAAGAAAGGATCTATACAATCTATTAAATAAACAAAAAAATCCACTGCCAGATTAATACTCAGTAAATGTGATTGTAAAATTGGAAAAAAAAGACACACACAAAAAATTGATAAATTACGTGCTGCTGCTCAAGATTCTGGAAACTTCCTCATTGAATAAGTCTGTATTTAGTATAAACTAAATATTTAGTTATAAACTGTTAGACAAGCCCAAATAACAACCTTGAGACATTATACTATTTATACATCACCTGTTTGACATTTAATGGGAAAACGTACTACCCTCCTTGTCAATACATCAGTCTCCCTAGCCCAGTACAGTGCTAGAAATAAAATTGAAAGAAAATAAAAATAGAAATAATTTAATAGAAATAAAAAAAGAACTGACCATATAAAAATAACTGAGATTGCTTATGCCCTCATCATGATCTTCTGTTTGGGACTGCATGTTAGTGTGAATGCAAGATCTGATGATCTGGGCCATCCTTATTCAAAACTATTCTAATTAAAAGCACATATTTCAACATTTCAAGGATGTCAGTTGTTCCAGATTGCAGGCATGTTTGTGATCCTAAAGGTCACATACCTGTTGGAAGGGCAGTCTGAGTTGGCATGGCGCTGATTATAGATGATTCCAGAGGGTTAGGCTGGTAAATTCCATCCACGGGGTTAATAGTACTCTAGAAAATTGAAACACATTAAAAAAGGGAGACACTGTAAGAAATCACAGTACTAGAAACAGACAACTCATGATTGATGCACTGTTCTAAAAAATTAAACAGATAATTTGGTCTAAATACTACTGAGAAATATCCTGCATAACTAGAAAAAAGTTTATTGCCTAGAGCACTAATGCAGCTGAGGTGGTCTAAAACCTCATACATTTTTAACCCTATTCTCCGGGTAAAGGTTGTAGTAGCAAAAACTCTAAACAATATGCAAATAAACAAAGCTATTCATATTGATGTCACAGCTATCATCACTACAAACTGAACGTTGAGCGAATATGCTGGATAAACATTCATGACTACCAAACCCTTAATCCTAGAAATTCCCTGTAGCTTTTGGTTCCTTTGCTGTGATCCTGTCCCTACTACTTACTGAACTTTTCAGATTACTCATTTTGGATGAACTGCTCTGAGAGTTTAAAGGAGAGCCATTATTTTACAGAGCTGTCTACAGTATAAAAACAAAATGCTGCACACACTCTGATCACAGGTTGACCCGAAAGTGCGTACCCAAGTAAATGGAGCACATGAAAGAAGACTGAAAGCATGCATAAGAGGATATGAAACAGATCAGAAATTAAGTGCTACAAAGTAAGAACTATATAAGACAAATATGACAGCTTCTCTTTAAAGAAATGTTAATCTCTGTTATAGGCTTTTTAAACAGCTATGTAGAAATGAGAAATACAAGTTGGCATTTAGCCCCCCATTTTGAAACAAAATGAGAAATGTTTCAGGGTTGAGATTGATTTTAAGCTTAAAATGTCATTTTAGAAGTTAAGACCTACAGTTTTTTAAGGCATTAATTTGTGCTTCTTGGCACCTTTGATACCCACTCTCTGCCTGAATCTTAATGAAGCAGAAATGCTCACTCTAGAGAAAGATGCACCTTATTTTTGCATGTAAACAGTATTATATGCAACATAGTGCCAAAGCCTCTTAGGTTGCACTGCATTTCCATATTACAAATCCTAGCATGTATCTACCAGTGAGTAGCTTTCACTATTGCCCATCGATCCTGCAACAACTCAACCCAAACAAGAAAGAGAAAAATTGTTTAAGTTTTCTACCACCAAGCCTGAAGAGCCTGAATTCACAGGATAACAATTAAGCAGGTCATGGAGTATGTACTTAAGGCTCTTCCGTGAAAGACTTACTATAGGTGTTTACGTTGATAAAATTTTAAAAAGACTTCAAATTGTTTATAATTAAGGGAGGCAATTAAAAAGGCAAACAAAAGTTAGGATATAAACTCACAGATTTTAAACTGATCCCTTATTAAACGTGTATAATGTGCTTGAATGGCCTAATTTAGAATATTGTGTACAGTTTTGGTTGCCATGATTTGAAACGATTTTGCTGCTCTGCAATAGCTCCAGAGAAGAGCAATCAACAAAGCTGCAGGAAATGAACCTTTTTGGTTTTGAACAAGGAAAACTACAAGGGCACATGATACTCAGAATTATTATGTGAACTGACGAAGTCAGTCTGATATATTTCTTCAGAACAAATAGTGAAACATGAACCAGAGGAAGCAAACAATGTGGAAATACATTTAAAACTAAGAAACAGTGGAAATTCTTTACATAGGGGGTTGAGGAAGTATGAAACAAGCTACCTAGACTTGTGTTTGAAGCTAAGATCCCATTTTTTAGAAACAACTGGATTCCCCTTGTATGTAACATTTATTATGTTCTTACATGTTTGTATGTCTTGTACTGGGAGAAACATAATCAGAAGAACTGTTACTGTACATCTCACGTATTCATTAACCATCAAAAAAGACTACTTTTAGGAAAACAGGAAAACTATGCATGACCACAGATTTTGAAGGACACAATACTTTGCATTCACAAGATAAATGTTTTAATTCACTCATATGCCCATGATATAAAGTAGTGTTTGCAGTGACCAATATCACTAGCAGGTGTGATTATGAAAAAAAAAAGGTTTCGAGAAAACTTTAGAGAAAGGGATAAATAGCTCATAGCAGTCACCCATTTCTCATTTTTATTTCCTTTTTGATACTTCAACAGTATCTGAAGCACTGCACACTTTAAATGGGATTTTTAAATATTTTCTCCAGTAGAACAAAATCCATTTACCAATTCAAGCAATACTTGAATACTTGAAACCAGTACGTAATTATATTTTACATTTTATATAGTTTGGTTTCATGATGACAATCATATCAAAGCCTGTTAAAAATACAGTAGAAATGATCCACTTTAACCCCCAATTATAATTCGGGGAAAAAGAGTGAACAAAAAACAAGAGGTCTATAGCTGTACACAGAGAGGCAACCTACAAAAACACCCTCTGCCAGCACCAGCTACAGGAGTTATTTTTAATGTTGTCTGAAAATTTACCATCTGCCTCAAAACAACACTGATATGGATTTTTTTAAATACACCCTAAACAGGATGCCAGTCCACCTCAGGCTACTCAGATCACTCCTGCAATATTCATATTGCTTGCCAATATTTCAGTATTAGTAGTATAGGTTACGTTATTCCTACACCTAACTGTGCTCTGGTACACCTCTGTTTAGTATTCTTTTAAAAACGAAGGAATGATCTAGAGAAGCTAAATGAATTAAAACTAAAATGATGGGTATTAAAAAAAATGAATACTTTTAAATATGGTACAGCTGATGCACTTGAAAAAAGCTTGATAGCTGTTTTAATGGTAGGAGCTAGAATATTGGGGCAGTCTTGTGATTAGTGCACAAAAACAGGAAAGCAGTGTGATGCAGCGTGTTAGAGCAAAGTAAGGTACACTGTTCATAGCGAAGATATGGTGTTGCAAAATTCTTGATTAGTTAAAAGCAGAAGATTTGAATTTCAGCACTAAAGCAACTCCAAAGGTTAAATTAGCAATGCAAATCACATCCCATAAGTAGCGATTAGGCACTATGCCTAATTTTTAGTTTTGCTTTTTTCATTTTGTTTTCAAATTTGTTTTCTGATGACACAGCAGATTTTATATCACAGACCAAAAGCTTCTGTGACTTGCTGGAATATAGAAATCATCTAACAAACAAATATGCATAATATGCACAGGTTTCTTACAGTTCAGGGTATGTAGGTGGCTATTTAGCCAACCGAGCTGCCAGAATGCGAGATAAAATAGTCCAGTGTTAAAAAGAAAAATGCGATGCTGTCCACATTAGAAAAAAAAACAGAATGATGGGAGAATAAACTTGCTGCATCTAGAAGGCAAGGAAGACTGCAGATTGGACAAAGATGGACAAACCATTTCTTGCAGTTGTTACAGGGGAAATCTGAACCTGAAATGTAAGGCACTTCAAGGAAAACAAGGAAACAGTACAAGGCCAGTGAATGAGAGAAGGGAGACAACAGAAGAGAAATGTCAGAAGAAAATAGAAGAGGGTCAGCATTACAAATAGCAAAAAAAGACATGCCCTCTATTATAGCTGATTGATTTGGTTCATTTTTCAAATTAGTTGGGGAAAAAAAAGAGGAGAGAGGTCTTTATTTTTAGCGTTTAGGTAATATCAAGACTTACTATCAGTCCGTTTGCGTGCTGCTGTTCGTTACTTTGATCCTTAAAATTTTGAAAAGAAAACATTATTTTAAGCAATATATCCAGCTTCACATGTTAGATGAGACCTGAGATGTATGCAAAACAAAGCTCATGTTGTTCTGATTATGAAAGGATAGATGAAAGAGTGGGTTAATTATTTAATTCATTAAATCTGAACAGAAATTTCACAGGTCACAGATAAAAGGTCGTTTGAATCCCAGGATTTAGACCAGGGAACACTCAACCAGAAGCATAACCGTAGTAGGCAAGTGTCCTGTAATGCACAATCTTGAAATATATAAATTTGACTCTTATCAGTGGACTCTACACGGTACGTTTAACATGTTTACCCTAGTAAGCTCACTTTCATGGAAAAGGTTAGAGTCCTTGAAACTGATAAAATTTAAGGCGCAGTAAGAAAAGAACAACACTTGGGGATAGATCACATCGCACAAAACAACAAGTGCTAATACCTGGATTCAGAATTAAAAAACAGAAGTATTTCTGTAAAAAAGGGCGTTGTATTAAATACTTACCGTCTTCCATCCCTGACGATGTGAGAAATTTAAATAATAACATGTGCACGATTCTTTTTTTTTCACGTAAGAAAGATAGAAACATGACAGATTTCCTACGAAAGGCTTTGGGAATTTCTCTGAGGGACTTTTAAAAACAAAAACTTTTAAAGGATTGAGGTCAACATCCCTATAATGTTAGTCCTTTACAAACGCAAGACTAAAACCAAAAAGGGGATGTGGAAATTTTGCTGCATTTGGGGGTAGACCTGAGGCAAAAAGTCTATTATATCAAACCTGTTTTCCTATTAAAAATGAACTGGTCCTTCAATATTACACAGAATAATAATTCTAAGCAAAGGCAAGAGGGATAAGTCAAGCAGCCACAGAGAAAGGAGGGCTGCATGATGATTAAATTGAGCCAAAGTGTCAGAGACAATAGCAATAATTAAGTCTGAAAAGTGAATTTTAGAACAAATTTCTATCGCAATATAATTTAGAAACAACAGTTTAGAAAAACAGAAAGAACAGTTCAAACACAGATTTGTTGCTGATTCAGTGAGGGTTAGTTTTGATACAATCATAAGTCTAAATATATTTTTTTTCTTATCTGTTCCATTTCATTAAAATAACAAATGAATTATAAAGGTCTTGTATCAGTAAATATGCTATCGCAGATCTATATGACAAGCAAAATTATTTCTGCAGTACAGTTTCTAGAAATTTCTAGACAGAAACTGAAGTGAAAAGTTTAGTATAAAATTATATTTCCTACTGCTCCACTGGTGGTGTTTTTATTATTTTAAAAACATCCTACGGTTATCCTTACTTAATACAACAAAGTTTCTTACTTGGCCAAAGAAACATTTGTGGAGCACAATTATCCTACAGATCTTAAGAGGCTGAGATAATCACCTCAACTTGATTAGTATTAAGCAATTTGGAGTATTTTCTGTTTTATTTTCTATAAGAAAAAAATCACAAATTTTGACGTTAAAAATCTTCATCATCTGTTCTATGTAACCGATTTGTCAGAATAGTATGCTCCTTTTCATGTGACACTGAGACACCAGATTTTATCTGCCCTATTTCCATTAAAGCTGACTTCTTGGAATCAATGTTGGGTTCTAGGCTGACTGGAAAATTATTTCCTTATGCTAAAATAATAATACAAGCAAAAGCTGTTTTATCTGTTTAATAATTCATGTTGAAAATACTCGGACATTAAATATTATTTCTGGATTACTTTATTCTGGATTTATATTTTTGTCTTTTTCATTAAGTTGTAATAATACCCTCAAAATAAATGTATTTTGGCTTCAATATAAACCTGTTTCTCAGGAGAGAATCTGATATACTTAAAAAAAAACATCCTCCACTGAACAAGTATCCTCAAATCCAAGAAAACAGTCAGTTTTCAGGAAATACAGTTTTAAAGACACTTTTGGAGGTGATATTAATTTTGGGATTTTCTAAAACAAAATATTCTAGGACTTTAGAAAAGGATTACCTTGGCAATCTGCAGCAATACTATACAATGCTTGATGGATTCTACCATACTCTGAAAAATAAAACAAAAATGTGTGTTAGTTAAAACAGAAGACTCCTAAAACTGCATCTAAGGGTTGAAACTGGTAGAAACAATTCATATACTCACACAAGTTGTTTCCTTGAGGTTTTCAATTTTCTGTAAAATAAAAACAATGGTGAACAAAAGCTGAACTAAAACTGCTTCCTCAATAACTGCTCAAAATGTTAATTTAAAGGAATGTTTGTCATGTTCAAATGAGGTCAACAAGTATTTAAACAACACCAAAGAGAATATACACATTCTTACATTTATATATGTATTATAGTTTGTGTTCTTTTTATTCTGTAATATGAGCTATCTTTACTAGAAAAACACATAGGATGTTTAAAGTAAAAATGTAAGATCTGATGTTGGAAAGTTCACTATAATCACAAAAAAGTGACAAGACGTAAGCTCAAGGAGAAACACCTCTTCATAGACCTTAACTGGCATTCCTTCCTGAATTGAAGGGGGTAAGGGAACTATACCCCGGATGGAATCCACACCACTTTAGACAAACCCAGAGACACCAAATCACCCTATAAAGTCCTAATGAAGATTAAACAGGTGCTTCATACAAGTTAATTAGCCTTTATTAGGACTGCATTTCAATTTTGAGACACTGAAATGAAATAACCAGTAGTGTGGGAGAATGAATGTCCATAATTCCACAATGATCTAACACTGATATCCATAGGAAATATGTACACCTTAGCGGTTAGTTTGATGATGGCTGGATTTGTAACAATGACAATGAGTCAGCTGCTACATGTATGTGCTCTTACACACAGCAGTCACCACAATTTGATCTGATTCACTTATGGAGTCCACATTTTAGATACTTATCCACACAGATATTTCTCTCAGGACTAAATGCTTTATCACTGATCGTATGCCTGCTTCCTTCTTAACCGTTATTGGAACACTGATCCAGACAAGAGTCATATAGCTGTCATACAGCTAAGACTTTTGTTCTTTTTTTTGACAGATTTATGATGTTTAATACTTCTACAGCAGTTTCAGTGCATAGCATCAGAATAATGTAGTATCAGTAGTACCAGTAACATAGTATTAAGAAGTTTTAGTATAAGCAGTATAAAGTAGTTTCATTGCATAATATCAGTAGTATTGGTAAAATGTATGGCATTCAAATTTTACCCAGTTTTCTTCTGATTTATGCTTAAATTCAGGCTGTGATCACTGACAGGGCTAAAGGTAAGCCACCTAATATTCTAACTAATTTATTTCTCAGCTTAGCCAAGCAGAAAACAAGACAGGCTTTGGCACATGTTGTTACCCAGTGACACAGACATCTCTCTGCAGCAGATTCTGAGACCAGACCTCAAATAACTGATGTATTTGATATATTTAACTGTACAAAGATTAAATAAATGTTTGCAGTATGATGAATGTGTAATGATCCAGATGGAGACAACTCTGGCAGCTTTATTTAGTAACTCTAGTGAGAATCTGATCAACAATTTGGCAGTTAATGTTTTAAAAGCCTTTAGGCAGGTTAAATGAACCTACATCATCAGCGTGAACCAGAGGACACAGTGCATACAATGCAGAGTGCAATGAACAAAAAGGGCTTGAGAAATGTCACTTTCACAACTGGTAAAAAATGAATCTTTTCAATTTTCTGTACTGAGCAGCCAAAAGAGGAATCCAATCACATTTTTAATTTTAAGATGGCAGCAGTAAGAACAGGTTTCAGTGTGGATATCTTTCATCTCAGCCATAGTAATCAAATTAGTGATACCTACTTTTAAAAAATAACTTTAAAAAAGACTTTTCAAATCTACACTGTACATTATCTGAATGAGGAAGATGAATGGCATTGTAATCATAACCTCCTTTATAATTCTACCTTGTAAACTGATGGCTTTGGAGAGCTTTCTAACTGATGTCAACAACAAATGCACCACAAATTAATCAAAATTAGTCAAAACTTACTCTGCGTGATTCATCTTCTTTGCAGTCCTTGATTTTTTCATCAAAAAGCTGAAAACAATTAAATAAATGTTTAGGACCTATACTTACAGTAGGATCTAGACTTTACACCATTCTTGACACACTGGACACCAGTGGATTGTCTTCATGTAAGCCACTGGCATTCAAGATAACTTCTGCACTGCATTTTACAGGGACAGTGTAGTCAAATGATTATCTATCTGCCCCAGGATCTACTGCAAACCTGTGACGAAACAATACATTAAGTATAGGTGATGCAAGAAGCAGCTGTGGAGAACAAGGAGGTGGGCACTGTTCAGCCATGGTGCACTTAGGATCCTCCGTCAGAGGAACTGGGGGTTCCAGGGTGTCTATACTATATACAGTACATACAGTCTACACTCTTACCCTGGTCAAGTGAGCAATGTACCACTGATGTCAGATCTTGATTTTGTTAGTAGTAAGCAAAAAAATAATCCTGTTTTTAAAAACACCAGAATTTTGGCATGATCTTCCTGCAAACACCATGTAAACAGAATTTTCGCATCAAAATTAAAACCAGTGCTATACCTTGTTTGCACTGAAAATGTAAAATAAATAAAACAGAAAAGGGTTCTGCCTATATCATCAGTTTTGATGAAGAACAGAGGTGATAAGGAAAATTGCACAAAATCTCTATTCTTGCTCAACAAACACATCAGTGTTGGAAAAGCTTATCATCAGATACTTATGTACAAACTGGCATCTGCCTCGACAAATTAAAAACAACCATTCAAATGAGAATTCAAATGGCAAGAATCACAATTCAAAGGTACAAAGCAAAAGCTTCACTTAGCAACAAAGGGTGTATCAAATGAGTCTGCATCATAGTGCTTACTTTTAATTGGTCAATCAATATCTGCAGGTAGGCATCTGCTTCTGCCAGCTTCTTGTCAAAATCCTGAACACTGGGAACAAGCCCTGTTTCAGCCTCCTGCAAAGCAAACAGAAGTGTGTGTTAAACCCTGTCCTAACTATTGACTCAGTCTCCAAAGTAATGTTGTTCAAGTTGACGAGCAATCCTTCATCTACACAACATACTTGAATTTGCAGGTCTCCCCTGCAAACTGAGTCTTTGCACATTAAAACAGCCACCCAGTAGTAAACGCTCCCACCTGATTATTTATGTACATAATAATAACAGTGAAACAACACTCTGAATGTACTTAACTTCTACAGATTCAGTACAGTGCTTCCAGTACTATTAGTAACTTATAACGCCATTGGTAACAGACAATAAAACAGTTTTGTGGTCTCAGCAATACATGTCTAGTTCTACCAGTCAATCTTCAGAGATTTACCTAAACCAACAGTTTTTATGGCTAAACCTGACAGAATCCTTCAATTCTTCATGAACCTTCAGATGTGAGATCCTGTCCTGCCTTTTGCGCACCCCAACAGTGACCAGCAACTATAACTTGAATTCACATATATTGTCCAAATTTGCCTAGTGCATTGCTGCAAACATTTATGTTTATTAAACAATTGACAATATATCCAAACATCCAGCATCAGAAAGGATATTAATCCTGACAAGGGTCACAGCAACCTGGACCCTGTTTTGGAAGCATACGGCACCCAGGAATTAAGAGATATCTAGTTAACTGAATCAGGATGTCTTTGGAAGGTAGGAGGAAACCAAAGCACTTGATGAAATCCCATGCAGATCTGAGGAGAACAGCTGTACCACATACTGTAAAAAGGATCCACGTTTCAGAATCTAGATCAGGACTCAGGAACTGAGATGTGATGCAGAAGCTCCAGCCACTGTGACAGTGTACTGCCAATTAAATACCTAACAAAGAAATAAGGTCTTTTGGGAAGTGTGACAACAAAATTGCAAAAGGGAAATGGCTAGCAATGGTGGCACACAGGAAACAGATATTTTACAGCCTACCTTCTCTTACAGAAGCAGTATGCAGAGCCAAAGGATTCTGTTGCTGCAATACTGTGTTGTATAGGTACTACTGTATAACAATATTGTATAGTAATATTTATAGGTAGCAAAATTAGCTGAATGGCAATGTGCAATAGCTTTGTTCCAGTTCAAATCCTAGAGACCTTGTGTTTTTGCAGTGCTTAGATTGATCACCGTTCATCCATGCATGTATCCATTTCTGAAGCAAGATCTTACAATACAGCAAAAAACACAAACGTGAACACTAGACTGTCAATTAATTTATACAACACAAACATTTACCATTGTTTCTGTTTTTGTCATAACTTATACAGCCTACCTGAGCTAGACCTGAGCTAGACAAAGAAAATAGATATTCACTGCTAAAATGTTTAATTGAAAACCAGTCATCTAAATTGGCCCATGGACATGCTAAGCTAAACTATGTTTAGCATGTGTTTATGGTTAATTATGGCTTAACAAATGAACTTTGTTTCTCTTTGTCTGAATCTCTTTCCTTCATTTAAAGATAACAAACTGCTAAATAGTATATTTTCAGATGACAGTCACCTCGCACATCATTCCACCCTGAGCAAAACAATAATAAACACTGCAGAATCTCCAACTGGCACTGAGCCAGGATCTGAGCTGAGGGCAGACAGACATTTTAAAACAGATATTGGAGGATAAAGAATTAGAGGAATTAATCTTGAACAAGCCTGCAGAAAACAGCATGTTCCCTCCCTCGGCTTGAAGGCTACAAACAAAAACAGCAAAGATCCGCATACAGGTACACTTCAGAAACACATTACAATATAGCTCAGCAAATGACAGAAATGTACAGTTCCAGAGTTTCTGACCAAATTATTTGAGAACAATTCTAATCTCATTGCTAAAGGGAACACCAAGAGAATAAGGAATGGCACAAAGCTCCCAAATCGTATTGCCCATAATGGATGCCTAGTAGAATTGCTAATCGAAATAATTCGGCACTGACTGAACCAACTACAAGATCTCATGTAGCATCACTGGGGCACAACACTAGTATTATAATGGTGACTTGTGTTCACTAAAAGCTCCTCCCTGTTAGTGTAAACACATGATTTGCATGGTTCAGTACTGTTTCAGAAACTCATCCGCATCTAAATATTTACATTATGACAGGTTTTCAATTTCTAAAGAAGGGAATTAAAGTAGCTTGTTTAACTGTTCCAGGATACTGCTGTTAGGACACTACTGCATGTGGAACTAGCACACTTTTAAATGAAATGATGGCCAGGCATTAAATTGTAAACGTCCTTGTTCAAGATAGTAACACAATAAGAGAATAACTATTGAAGCTCAATTTGTATCATGGCAAGAGTCAGAAAAAAAGAAAAAAAATGCACAGCAAAGTTGCTGTAACGGATATGAATGCCTTAGGTCTGTGTTGCACAGCCAAAGTCTAAAGGTCTCCACCACTCTAGGATTGGTAGATAATGCTAGACTGACATCTAACTGGGCCACAGACTTAAAAACAGCATGTGGTAACCTAGTGTGGCTCCCCTATGATAACACAATGATAACATTTCTTTCACCTAAGTAAAAGTTCTATAAAAGAATGATCAACTCTCAGAATTTGGCAATGGCAAATACTGCCTCCCTTGAATATGCATTTAATGACCTTTTTATCTATAAGTTAAGGACTACTGTATTACAACAACATAGATAATGAATATTCAGCCCTGTGAGTTCATGTGCCTCAGGAATCAGGCCTAAATGTCATGTCTGCTGGCTGCACTGCCCAGCTGTGAGAAGGGCTGCAGGCAGCCAATTACTCTGTCAAACAGAACACAGCCACCGTCTATATGGTTTTCCCAGCAATCCTTCAATATCCAACTGGCAACTGTTGACGTGTCTGACTACATGCTCACAGCTGAGGCAGGGTGAACATGACTGCAGTCCACAGCTGCACCATAGGAAGCTTAAAGAAAGAACAAAACCCTAAACTATAAAGACCTTCAACACAATACCACTACAACAAAATCACTGCCACAAAAAGGTGGAAGCACAGATACAACTGCATCTGGTAGCTTTGACAGTAATGCAGAAGGTTAATATTTATGCTATTGGTGCAGGACAATTTTCTCATGAAGAGAAAAGGTGACAGTCTGTCTAGTTTAACATGGCAGAGTGTGGGGAATAAAGCTTGATAAATGGACTTGATGGCTGATATCGTGCCACCAGAAAGTATTCCATTACTGTCTGGCAGCAAAAACAACAGATGTCTTGGGGATTTAATGTATTAAATGTAGAAATAGACTATTCATTCATCCATCTTCTAACGGCTTCATCCAATTCGGGATGGGGTGGAGTGGGAGCCTGTCCTAACAAGCAATGGGCTTACACCAGTCCATCGCAGGTCACACACTGATACAGGCACACACACAGCAACATTAGAGCCAAGTTCAACAGAAACCAATTAGTCCAACCCCTGGACTGTAGGAAGAAACTGGAGCACCTGGCGAGAATGGACAAAAATATAAAAAACCCATGCAGTTAGCGCCCCAGGTCCGGAACGGAAACAGGGCCCCAATGCTGCAAGGCAGCAATGTTAACTACTGCATCACTGTGGCACCTGGCAACACACTACAAAGACCCAAATTACACAAGATAAAAAATTCTATCAGCTGCCACTACAGTGAAACTTTCAGAGGACCACTTAAAAGGTTATTAGGTGGTCAACACCTGCTTTCCTAAGTACTCAATCCTAAACATTTATAAGATTTTCAATACAATATATATTGGACTAAACCAACGGCAGGAATAAAATTTGAATACTATCAGGCTGCAGACCTTTATGGATTTTCCTCTTTTGGTATCAAACAGGAAATCTAGCAAAGATTCAAAATCTTCTAAAGCTTTTCTACCTTCCAAGTGCTTTTTTTCTCCCAATAATCATTCCACTTGTAGACTTGTAGAAAGGTGCAAGGTGGTTGAAGCTGATACCTTGGCGTCCCTCACAAAACAGCTGGACCAGATCCTCAGATCAATAAGGCATTAACTACCAAACGTGCCAGATGGGCCAAATGACCTCCTCTCATTTGTGAAAATTTCTAATGTTCTTATGCCCAATGATAATAATACCAAGACTACAGATCTCACTCATTCCGAAATGAAAAAGAATGAAGTTAAGCGGGCTCTGTATAGTGCAACTGAAGGAAGGTTATAACGAAAACATTTTAAATGGTTAACTATAATTTTCAAGCTCATTCTTTATAATTTTTAAGCTCACATCAGCAAGACTACCTCTAATTACAGAACAGAGCCTAACAGTTAAAACAAGAAACGGTATCTCACATTATTTCTTGTTTCTGAGTTTTTGGAAAACTTCCCCACATGCCAACAACTATAGCACAGTGCCGAAAAAAAGAGGTTCTGAAGTTTGTTTTCAAGAAAACTAAGTGCTATAATTAGCGCTAATGCATAAAACTTCTGCTTCCTAAGAGGGTTTTTATATGTTGATTTGCCATACCATTAACTTTGATTTTCCATTTCCATGCCAGAATGACTGAGATGCACGATTCTGAAATTGTCTATTATAAAATTAGCACTACAGGTCATGCCTACCCACTTTGGAAAAGGGAAGTCCCTAGTCTGTCTTTTTCTTCCAGTCTGTGCAAATTTATTAATCCATCCATTTTAGCTGCTTAGTCCAATCTCAGGGTCCCGGTGGCCACAGGCACAAGGCAGGGTGCAATCGGGACACCCATCCATTGCAGGACAGACAGACACAGACATACACACACTCACACCAGGGCCAGTTTTCCCAGAAGCCAATTAACCTATGTCCGTATGTCTTCGGACTGTGGGAGGAAACCGGAGCACCTGCAAACTCCATGGGGAGAACACAGCAGCCCAGGTCTGGAATTGAACCTGGGGTCCCAGCTACTGCAAGGCAGTAATGCTAAAACTACGCCGTTGTCCCATCCAATATACGTGTAATCTTCCACCGCAGTGTGCTTTTCTGCTAACCAACACAATTAAGTTTCCTTCTTAACCTGAGCTATTTAAGTCATTTGCTGTAATAGCAGGGATGTGTGCATGCTTTTAAATAATAAACACAAAAAAATAAAACCCTTTTTAACAACAGCAAATGCTTTCTAAGTTATTAACTCAAAGCTGGCAACGGATGGCATTCAAGACCATAAGCATTTTCAAGACTTACAAAACCACCACAATGTGTGCCATTTACAGTTCACAAAGCAAAGCAAAAAATCTTAACAGAGAAAAAAGAAGCACTGATGAAGGTCTCTGGTAGAACCTTCAGCTTTCCTCGCTACAACAGAACGAGAATTTTCTATACTGCAGGGTATGAGTTTTTTCTTTTCTCAAACTTATTTCTAAATATTTTACAATGATTATTTTACAAACTAAACCAGCAAACAAAGCCCTGAACAGGATGTCACAAAGCTGAAGGCACTCCTCCAGCTGCAGCTGGGTAATACTGACTTCCTTCAGACTTTAGTAAAGGAATCAAGTGATCATCCATCCACTGCATTTAGCAGGATTGTTCATGGCTGCTCAACAGAAAGCCATTAGAAAATAAGAATATAGAAAAGTTACAAGTGAGAGGAGGTCATTCGGTCCATTTAACCCATTTATCATGAGCTGACTGCTTTGAACACCTTACCCATTTCTTGAAGAAAGCTAGGATATCAGTTTGAACATGACACGTTAAAAACTGACTCCTGTTCCCATACTGCATAGTTCTCTTATTTCATATCTTCTCTATATGCTTATAAACACACACACATTAGGTATGAGAAATCAAGTATCTGAAAAACCCTTTTCATAAAAAGACAATAACAGCCTCTCGCATTGTCTAGAAAATGATTTTGCAATAAAATGGAGAAAGAAGATAAACTGGAGACATGGCAGGAAACCTGAGACGCTACTGGTTTGAAAATGTACTTGTTTTAAAAAGGTCTAAAGTACTCTAACCCCCCCCACCCAACACATTACACCACACCCAACTCACACAGCCTTGAAAACGGCCGAAGAGTTTAAGTACCAGAACCTGTTCTAGGCCCTTGGCCTGTTTTAATACAGGCATTTTCCCTCTCCATGCAATATTTCCGCCTCAGCAAATCAGCTGATAAACCCACAACATACAAGCATGCAGCTTCAGCAAATGTCCCAATCTCATCTATAAAGCCTGTCCCTTACAGTTGTTCTAGCTCTCCCTGCTACCCCAGTCTAAATAAAATCTAATAACTTCAATCTTACCCCTGCTTCCTACATTGGTCCCCACACACACCAGAACGACAGCCCTGTCTCTTTAATATTTCCAGTAATATAGTACTTACAACACACAAATCTTTCAGTGACATGCCTCAGCAGGCATTGCAGGCCTGATTAGAATCGTGTTTCCCTTCTGTCCCAACAGCAAAGCACAATTTTTCCTTTCTCGACAGATTACGACTAATCCAATCATTTGCAATCTGTACACGGAGAAATTTAAAGAAAAATCCACACACAGAAAACTGTAATCCAGGACCCTGCCCGAGAAGAAGCGGACACTTCCTTAAAAAAAGAAAAGCATTGCCCTCAGAAAGTGACACACATCAACAACTGCTCTCATTGGATAAGGAGGCCAGACAGATGAGTAACAGCTAAAGCAAGCTCTGCTCTGATTTGCTTTTGGTCACATGCTTTCCCCACCTCATGTAGTGGATTTTCTGATAGGTACATGTACTCACAGTTGTGCAGAATGAAAGAGAGACAGAGAAAGAGGGCTTGCTTATACATGCAACAGAATTAGCAAGCAGATCAGTGAATAAACACCTTCTGCATAATCAAGTAAGGAATGTAATCGCACAGTTAAAAGGAATCGGTGTGCCATCATCAAATGCCTTCTTGTTAGCAAATCATTAAACAACTCACTCACATTCTGACTCACTTCCTCCTATTCTCAATATTCTGTGATGAACTCCTAACCCTGTCCTCCTATGAGACAAACAAGGGGCTGGGCTGTTCTATCTGCACACAGTGACTCAGCGCAGAATGAAAATGTTCATAATAAGAAAAAAATTTACAGCAACCCCTTTTAAACTTCTCACACTTCTCAGATCTGTGCAAGTTCCAAGAAAGAATGAGAGGCACATTCGTAACAAAATATTTCCACTAATTAAACTTGCTAAAAGAGGGTTAAGAGCTATTTGGCACAAGCAAATTCAGCACTAACAAAAAGAAAACAATCCGATTTATCTTTAAGGTACATAAAATAGCAGCTGAAAACTCCTGCCCTGGCCCTCTATCTGAAAGATGGTTGGATTATATTTCTCTTTAACTGTATAATCTTTATCGTCTCTTGGAAATGTGCTCTGACATAGAGATATGTGAGATACACAGAGATATGAAAATAACATATCTCACATAATGTAAGAAATATCTTTAAAATAATTGGCCAACAAATTTTTGACAGAATGTGAAGCTGCCATTTCTATGCTGAAGGAACATTTCTTAAAACCACAGACTTTCCTCTATGATTCTGAGACCTAAGCATTATAACATTAATAAGAAGGCACCAAATACTAAATGATTAAGAACCATATCTGAAAGAGGCAAGAGGTATTTATTGGTACACTCCTAAACTGCAAATCTTTCTCACACAAGTTTTGTAATGCAGATAGGAAGGAAACTGTACAGAAAACAATTTCTGTGGCACTTAAGAACAAAACAGTTCTCTGTTGAGAAAATTGGGGATTAAAAGTAACAAGCAAAATGCAGTTTAGCTGGGCAGTGATACTGCATTTCTTTGCCTTTACCATTTGCCTTTTCTGCTGTCTTTCTTTGTCAGCTGTTTAACCTCGTCTGTGAATGATCTTGTCTTGATAATCGATTAGATTCAAATGTTTAGCTACCCTGAAAACAAATCTATCAATCAGTTCTTTCTCGGAAGGTTTTCAGGAGCACAAATCCTGAAAGCCTTCTGAAAAACAGGAACTTTCAGATGCTGACATGAGATTCCAAAGTAAAAAAACTTTTTTTTAGCTTTTAATACACCTACTTGCTTGATTCCCTGTCTTGTCACCTCAGCATTGGGAACCTGTGAATTATGGGAGAGATCTCGCTTTTGGCAGAAACTAAGCGGTCTAGCTCCATCAATCTCAAAGACTTGTTCCGCTGCCAGACTCTATCTTCTGATTTACAGTCTGCCAATTCTGGTTCCTTACGTAGTTTAAAGACACTTTATGGATCATTAGGCCTTCTGATGCTTATCCCCGCAACAATGCAATGAATCCTCCCAAGACCTCAATCTATTTTTAAATCATGCTATATTTCTATACTATGACCTTTCTTGGTGTCCGGTTTTATTTTGTCTTTTTACATTTTCTTCATGGTGTGATATTAATATCACATACAGCAGAGGTTTTGGACCTGGGAGAGAGATGATGTTGAATGTATCGCACCAATGAAGCCATAAGTGAAGCACACTGTAGATTACATTCGGCTTCACAGCTCAGCCAGAATGAGCTATGGAAAAGCGACTTTTCTAGATGAAGGTTGTATATTAAGGGCAAACAAATCCCTACAGAATTTAAGGAGATAGGAATTTGTAATGTCATTAAGCATTTTTGAAATAATTTTAAAAATACACTTTTGTCTGTGAGTGGAGGTCCCCAGTCAGCTATTTTACAACCCAGGTGCTTAGGGCAGTTTAACCAAGCCATCATAGAGACCCCAAGCGAGAAAAATGGTACAGAGTTAATTGGCACACTCCACAGACCACACTCATAAAACACTTTCTGCTTACGTTTACTACCCTTTCCTAATGGTAAAATACTAATACATAAAATGTGATCCTTTATAACAATATGCTTCTGTTTTCTTTATTTAAATAAACAACTCGGGACCATCAGATTTTAAAACTGGGTCTCATTTTCTTTTTTTGCTTTCCTCCTGTGTTCAACAAGACATGCATTTCACCGAGTTTTGTTTTCTCCTTCCTGAAAAACTGCACAAACACATATCCTTTCCCAGCATTACACAAATTAACATATGAGCAAGAGTAACCAAATTCTTCAAACATAAAGAATACGAAGAGGACAGTGGTATCATCTTCTATGTTTAGCTGCTAGTAGCTAACTGATCTGAGGATTTCATTATACATTTCCTGAAGTAACTCAACTCCATCTTAAGAACACGTCCAGATATCACTTTTTAGGCTCCTAAACCTAGATGGAAACCCTTCAGTTCTCAGCCTTAAATGCATTTCCTCTTCATTTCCACTAGTGTGCAAAACAGGTAATGCACTGTAAAATCCATTAAAAGCAGCACTATAAAGACATTAAGCCTGGAAGGTAGGAGATGAAATTCTTTACCCTCAGTTGGAGCGTGTGCCGCAGAATAGTGCCCTCTAAGGCATGAATCCACTTTTCCCTCTCGTCTGCATCACGGGCTAGAAAGAAAGAAAAAACAAACACAACCCAGCCAGATCAGAAGCCATATAGGAAAAAATACACTGTCTAGTTTAAAGAACGAATTAGAGAAGCCCATTCAGAACATCTTACTCAACTGGTTACAGCTTATTTGCAATATCCTTTTTCACAGTGCAATGGCCAAAACTGGTGTTTTGTAAACGAGGGTTACACTGGAACTGATATGTTCTTTCACAGCACTTTGTTTCACCACTTCTGCAGATTCGTATTTGTGTCACAGGAAGCAAAACTGTGCTATGTCCAGTGAAACCTATGGCTACGCACCTGATTAAAAATGTCACTACACATTAAAAAGATTGTGTGAGAGTCAGGGGTGGTGAAGAGCTTGTGTGTGAAGAGGAATCTATCGCATGCCAGTAACACAGATCTCATTTTGACACACTAATTAAGGCATATTGGGTCTTCTGTTGTCTTGCGAATCTTGGTTCTGTGTACCTGAACGTCCTTACAGTGACTTTAAATGACCTTTCATTTCTGGCTACATCTTTCTTTGAAAGTAAATTGTTTTGGCTGTAATAATCCCTGGATTTCTCTCATCCCGTTCAAAAACGTTTATCGCTAGGGATCTCTGAGCAGTCCCCACCTTAGGGCAACACTTGGTAGACATTTAATATGGAAAAGTGCAAAAACGTACTACTAAAGTTGTACAACGCATTAATAAGATAATAATCTCATTTAGAATACTGAGCCTTTTTTGTAATTATGCTATAAAAATATATTTCTGTTCTAGAAATATCAATTAACAGAATTTCTCTTCCAGAGGAGAGCAATCAGATATTTTCCCAAACGTAAAGGGATTCTTTACACTGACAGGCTAAAAGAACTAAACCTTTTTAGTTTTGAATACAGAAGAACACGATTCTTCTTACTTGATTCAAGTTTTCAAAATTGTCCAAGGTATTGCCAAAGTTGACAGAGGAGACTTCTTCAGGATCAAGAGTAATAGACAAACCAAGAGGGGACAAAAGTTGGTAAAGGGAAAAGCATTTAAAAATGAGAACGGAAAGCACTTCTTTACACAAACAATTTAGGGAACATGGAATCAGCAGCCCAGTCAGGTCGTTAAAGCCAGTATCTTGAATTCTTTCAAAAAAAGTTCAAGTAGGCAGCTGCGTCAGCATGCATAGGCTGCAAAGGAACAAGTAAAGATTTATTCCATGCTGAAAAGAGAAGGAAAAAAAAACGTTTCGGCTGTGAAGCCTTCCTCGAAGAAACCTTTACTTGTTCTTTAAAAAAACAACTAATGAGATCTTTGCACCTACAGTAGGTAGGCTAAATAATCTGTTATCCAAACGTCTTTGTTTAATTAAGATGAGTTTCAGCAGAAAGACAGTCATCATTTTACATACCTAACAGAATATCCATGTACGACTACCTGATATGGGAAAACTGATGGTATGTTCCTTCTGTTGTTTGATTATTATTCTCCAACAATATGCGATTTTTCCAGGATCTGTTAAAAATTATGAATACTCTAGTTCAGGGGGGTCAAACCCTATCCTGGACAGCTACAATCCAGCATGTTTTATAGGTGACTCTTGAATTATCAGTTACAACAGACATGTGCGTTTTGATCAGTTTAGTAAATTAATGGGTTCCTTGGTGTCAGGAATGTCCTCCTGTGTGCCTTGAGAGCTAAGAGATGTTGGTGTTTCCATTCCAAAGTTTCAAATTTGACTCTTCAATTTTCAGATGTGACGATCTGCTCATAAGCATCCCTCATTGAGCTCCAGCATTTCCTTTAAATGGAAATCCTGAGTCATGGGGATTTTTCTGGAATCCGCTGTTGCCAGACCTCCTTTTCTACATTATCGTTATCATCCTCCCCCTGGAACACCCGACACCACGCCAACACATACTGTACACAAACGCCACACAGACCAGCACAGCTCTGCATAGCCTCCCTGCTCATGCTGAGACACAGCTGGGCTGCTTGCTGGAAGCTTCTGTTGTAAAACCCAGAGCTGCGTATCAGCAGAAACACCACACACAAACCTGTTGCAAGGGCTGAGCAGACAGCTTGTCAGTCTTACACGCAATGCTGATGTGAAGCCTGAGCAAGGCAAATAAAAGCAGGGTAAATAAATGGATGTAGAAGGGTTATGGTAAAGGTTACTTTAAATATTGTACTACATCTGAGTATTAATTCCTTCTGCAGAATAATCTAGTACAGTAGTGTGTAGTATGAACAAACTGCTCCTGTGTTATTAACTCAAACCACTGTATTTAAAAATCACAGCCCGGAAAGAAAATTACTGATCTTTTACTGACAAGCTGGAATGTCGAGGATAAAAAGTTATTCAAATTTTGAGATGTTGCTTTTTGTAATTTTCACAAATGGAACCATTACATTTTTAAACATCTTCCATCTAAATGTCTTCCACTGACACTGAAAGAAAAGCTAAGGCGCTAACAAAGTACACTACTCCTAACATATATTATGATGTCATTTTTTGCTGTACCGAAAAACCACGCGTTTCTTTCCACACGACACGATCTTTGCTTGTTCATTCTTTAATGCAATTAATACGCTGCCTGCACTCTAAACAAGCCCGTCTGCAGTGTCTCTAAAAGCTGAAATAGAGTGGGGGGGAAAAGGCTGAAACAATCAGGCCAAGGAACAAAATATATAGTGCACCTCATTGCGCCAAGCAAAGAACTGCATTGGCGCACATTAATATTTAACCCAGAGGAAGAACGAGCTGATTAAAATGCAAAATACAGCTGAACCCAGAATGATGGATAGGTCAAAGCTCAGCAAAAGTGCAAAGCTTTCAAGGCATTAAGTGCCCCTATAGATCATGTAAAACTACTTCCAGCAAGAAAGAGCCATATAGCTCAACAACTACATCCTGAAAGAACATTTTAAAACTGCAAAGGGAGAGGACAGAGTGACTCAGTTAAAAATAGTGTATAAAACATCCAGGTCTGATGTTCCCTAATCACTAAACATTTCTGATATGTCATGTGCTGCAAAGGGAACTGAAAGAAAGAGAAAGTTGTTTTTCTCTTTTATTGAACAGTCAATTTGGAACAAATTCTAATCTATAATGACAACCTGAATCTGAATGAAACATGTTTCTCAAAAGTGCGCAAACTTCATGCCACCCGAGATCTGAATTCATGACTCTCCCTGGGTCTGGAGTTCTCTATGTCATACAACCCAAGGTAAATCAAAGATCTGCCTGAGATGACACCCAAACTTCAGCAACTTGTGGTGGGGAAAAGCAATGTGCAAGTGACTTGTCTTAACACAAAGTATGGCATATGTCTGCCTGTGTTACATTCAATCGACACCAGTTATAACACAGTACTGTTCACTCAATATCACATTCACTCAATATCAAATAATCAGACTAGACTGCGCCTCTTACAATCAAACCTTTTCAATGGAAGGCTTCAGAACTATCTTGCACATAGGGGCACTGAGTGGATCTGCTTTGCGCTATTATTGGAGTAACTAGCACTCGAGACTTTTAAAATTGACAGGAAACCAAACTCTGTCAACTCTAGGCTTCCTGGTCTGCTCCGTCCAGATGCAGTTATGATGTGTAATGCCCTTGCAGGGAAGGAGAGTTTAGAAATCAGGAGTAACAGGTCCCTTTTTCCCCACCAATAAGGATGGATGGCATATACCTTCTATTTAAAAGTAGGAGAGTATTCAGAAAATTAAATTACACTTTAATGTTTCCCTATTCACAGAAGGTAAATCATGTTATCTGGTCTGTTCTCAGCACTCTAGTCATTAAAGCACAAAAACTGCATTCTCCTGAGTCTGAGAAAAAAGAGCTTTTAAGTTCTAAGAAAGCTTTTACTCCCTTCATCAGGACTGAATTACACTGGACTGAGAATGGTTCAAGCAAAACACCAGATTGCATTTAAAATTAAAGTCTGCCACCATTACATATACAGTAAACCCTCAGTTTAAGGGACTTATGATTTTATGAAAGAAATTTCCAAAGGGGAATTTTGTCTTAAAAATCAGATAAACTGGATTTTCCCCATTTTAGCAGACAAAATAACCAAGCCTGTTGCCCGATAAAAGCTGTATCAAGCCTTGAGAACAGGTTCAATTAACTTGTAAAACTTGAGTAAAATAAAAAATGAAAGTATAAGAGTAGTAAAATACATTTACTGTAAAATATTGTTAAAATACATGTACCGGTCAGTGATTGCATTACAGTTTTACATTGTTTGAATAAGGTGCATACAACACAACACGCTTTATACAGTAAATGTAAAACAATTTCAGTACAGTACTGTACACTACAATTTGACAAATATGTTAGAAATCTCACCAAAATGCAAAAATGTCATTCATGATTTAATCGGACATCTTCCCCCCTATTAGTACATTATACCAAAGGTTTACTGTATCCAAATCTAATTTCACTCCCTGTTTCTTTTGTGGATTCTGGCACTCTATACCCAGTGGTATTAAAGTTGATTTTTGCCTTTTCATAATATCTGCAGTATGAAACAGCACTATTCTTAGTACTGTGGAAGTTATCTAAACAGAAATCCACTTGTGCATCGCTGGAGATAACTTGAAATACCTGTCATGACAAAAGGCACCATCATGAGATGGTCTCGTTGTGGAAGATGACTTTCAGTTTGCTAGAAGTGCTTGGGTCTGCCCAGTGAATATCCACTTTCACAGGCAGTATGTTTGCAACTGTCAGATAGCAGGTTTGTGATTTGCCAGACAGGTTGAAATTTGACTCAATCTCAATAATCATCATCATCATCATCATCTTTATATTTTCCCATTACGCATCTCAAGGCACTTTAAAATTTATCTGTGAATCCCGATAATGCACATTCAGTTGGTGCATCTAGTATAAATCTACTTAAAACCAGACAAAATAAAACCACACCTTAACTATAAAGCAATAACACTAAACAGCAATGTGACAGAACTGAGCTTTTTATTACATTAGCACTTCTTCTTGGTTGTAGT